AATCGGACTCAAGTCTGGCCTTAGTCACCTCGAGTGCCAGTGCCGTGGGGATAGATGTGAAAAGCGATACAACATCAAAAGACACCATGATCTCATGCGTCGATAAACCCGTCAAGACGGTTGGTTCGATCCTGAAGAAACCGGAGGACAAATTCGATCAAGACCTGTCAACTGGTGGCGTGTATAAAATCAATTGTAAAAACTGTGGAAAAACTTTACATCGGTCAAACATCCAGAGGACTGAGATCCAGAACAAAAAAACATAAAAGAGCGTCCTCACATGTGACAAGAACTCTCTTTTGGCGCAACACTGTATGAAAAACAACCACGAATTTGATTTTAATAATGTCAAGGTCATAGACCGCTGTCCCTTGTGGTCGCGTAGATTGTTCTTCGAAGCGTGGCATTCCACCCGCGAACCGAACTAAATTAATGACCACGCGCATATTCCAGACATTTACAAAATGCTAAATTGATCCCTCGCGAGTTCCTCACATTCTTATAAACATCTCATTTACATTTAGACGCCGATAACATTCATTTCATCACTGAAGAAGGTTATAGTATTTTAGCCGAAACGTCTATTTTAAGATTTTTAAGTCAGTGACAACAACCTTTTTAAGATTTTATTATTAGAAAGTAATTTTACAGGAAAAGGGCCAATTCAGGTTTGTTTTTCTTTTGGACTGCTTCACAGGTTGTCCACATTCTGGAATATCCTATTTTCGTCCCCATAGCCCTTTTCGCGTCTCTTAGCAGGCAGGGCCTTAGCATGCGAAACGAAGGGCCCTTCATTTCTCTTGCCAAAACCCGCCGGCTAAGAAACGTGAAAAGGGCTATAGGGACAAGAAAGGGATACCCATCTCCCTTGACCCATTGACACCTGTGTCGGCAGTTACCGGCTGTGGTGAGCGTTGGCCTTTGTTCCACTTCTGACGTCATCACCTTCAACCAAAATTGGCATCACTTATACTCAAGTTCTGAAGGAGGAAAAGATCCAGTTTCCAATGATACCCAGATCAGAGTGATTGGGTCAATTATTATAAGACAATTAAATATGTACGAAAAAGTTTAGAAATTTCATTGAAAGCTTGAGCAAATTTTCCCTCAACTGCACTTGGCTATTCCGTTGTGAGAATTGCCCGTCTCGATGATGCTTTCTCGGGAATTGTTCCACTGGTTGCAAGCCCAGAAGAAGGTCCACCACTGCAGCAAAAAGATCAGAAAAGGATAAAAAGAAAAGGCGAAAAGCCTTAAGACGTAGGTCACGATGTACACAGGTACAACTGAAAAGCGAGACAAGTAATGTATATTTTTCTAACAAATACGAGCCGCTTAAAATTCATTCCAGTGTCTACAGTTACTTATGCTTTATGTTTGACTTGAATAAGCTAAGTACTTTTTGTAAATATGTGTAACTTACAAACTTTTCTTAGCACCCTTGCACTACTGTAGTTAATATTGGTTTGTATTCACCCTTAGCGCTGGCCGAAATTTTATAAAAACGACAGCACATACAATGCGTGTTTTATCTATGCCCTTTCAACATTCAGAACTTATATTTTTGCAGCTTAATCAAAGTCTGAATTGTTTTTATATGCTATTGTAAACGAAGATTCTTATGTAATATTTTTTAGTGACTTAAAACATTTTTTTCCCAAAGTAACAAGATTTTAATTCTAGTCAAGATTAATAGGAGTCGAGTTTACGTTCACGTTTTTATTGTGTGTTTAAATTAAACTTCAGTTAACTTTTTAGCTTTGACAGTTTCAGATAAGTCAGCGGCTCATGTGATTTTAAGCATACCACGCATACACATCAACACATGTTGTTCCACTATTATTCTCTTCACTCCAATCGGTCCAATCCTGTCCGAACCATATCTGCAGCTCCTGATTGCGTGACACAGACACCTGAATGGGAAGATCGCGGAAAATAAGCTCTGGAGATGTGTGGGTAGTTCCATTAAGACTGTAAAAGTGGTTTTTGTTTTCAACGCCAGCTTTTAAGTCTCCAGCTGGTGGCAGGATGGCTTCTTTCTTTGCACTGGTAATGATAGTCATTAAGCTGTTTTTGCTATAGTAGGGGCTTGTACTGCAGCCCCAGTAGGATGGAGGGAAATTTCGGTTACATATGATCGAGCCCGACTTGTGGACGAGCTTCACTGTCTTGAGAAGTCCACTCTTTGTGATGTTAAAGGCGCCGAACTGGTTATCTCGCGCCCCAAAGCAAACGGACTCTTTGTTTATTTTCTGCCAGTTTCCTAAAAAAAAAATTATTAAAAAATATACAATACTAATGGTAAAAAAAGTATTTAACATGGAAAGTGATTAGAATCGACCAAATTATACATCAAGGCAATCAGAGGCGCTCTAACTAGGCAAAACAAGAGCTCAGTAAAGAGTAAGTACTGCTGGATCGTTCAATTAGAGGTTTTCCAACAGACACGTTCATGGTCATCAGGAGTTTGTTTTGCGTCGTACATCTGGATCCTATTCCAAACCCTTTTAGCTCATTTAACCCAGTTATGCCACTGGAGAACAAAGATACTGCTTGCCCCTAGATTGTTTGGTTGATCGACTACGCACTTCTTATTTCAGAGCAACGAGAGAGTTCAATCAATCACAGCACGAGTTTGAGCAATAAGGGCCTGAGTCTGCTCGTAATCTCACCAATCATGGTTGAGCATTGTGAATACCCGGTTGGAACAAACAAAAAA